GGGTCTCTGAGTTGGCCACGCCCCTCTTTAGCGCAGGTGTGTCATTGGCTCCCAGTGTTGCTGCCTCAAAGCCGACTCCTCTACAGGTTCGACCCAGAACAACTCCGACCTGTTTGGGCTGCTCTGTTTGTTTTTTAAACCTGGTTTGAAGTCAGTGAATCTGATTCGCCCTAAATTGTCATCTCGTGACACGGCCAGTTTCGGACGTGTCTGCGAGCCCAAGCTGCTACTCTTTTTTTTTTTTTTTTTTTTTTTTTGACTCAACCCAAACTGCCTCAGTGAAATTATCTGTCAATAAATTAATCAAATTTTACTGAATCCCCTTTATGAAGACTTTTAAGGTCAAGTATTTTCGTTATTTGTGATAATGTTTCCAAAGAGACTCAAAATACAGGAAAAGCAGAATCGGTCCCATCTAATGGTGTATTTTTGGAACCAAATGCAGGAATTATTTTGCTTGTGTAAGTCAGCCTATTATGCTTGTGATGATAGGGAGTAAACAAGAGCCTGACCTGTTTTCAGATTTGGGGAACCTCCGACAGCACCGGGAAGGGCCGGCCCGGGAAGGGCCGGTCTCGGGGCTCACTGCCAGATTCGGGGAAGGCCCAGTTGGCTGGCTTTACCATGGCTGAGCGAGCTGAGCTGGCCCAGGAATTAGCCGTCGACATGTTCATTTGCCTGCGTTCTTTGTGAGGCCCTTAAGCGATCCACTACATGGGGGTGTCCACACTGGGGGGGTGTGCATACTAATAACCGCAGTGCATCTTTGGCAGGATTTGTGGTTGTCATATTTTACAGTTTGGCTGCCTTCCAACCACTCCTGAAGGTGCAGCCTGGCCCATGGCTCGCTTGCCCTCCCCCTGCTCCTGGGTGGCCCCCAGGCACTGAGGGAGGGGCCCCGGTAACCGATGGAGGGCTCCCCCCAAGTGTACATGTGGAAAGACTCGCTCGCAGTGCCCAGCTTGCGCGCTGTTGCTGCCGGGTCCCTCAGCTTATTTTTAGCTTTTGTGCCGCCTGTTATCTGTGCTC